CCTCCAGGATACACGTTCCTCATAAACTCCCACAGCAGAGGACTGAAAGGAGGTTTGGCTGCCACCAGCTGCTCCACGCTGGAGATGCAAATGCATATCGGCTTCTCTGCTGGTCTGTCCTGCAGCAGGTCATAGAGAAAAAGTTAATGATTTCTCACAGAAAATTAAATGATCTGTCCCTATTGGTTCAACTAACACTATATCTTTTCTTCCTTACTTTAATGCTGTAGATTTTCTCGATGGCCTGAGGATTCTTGCAGGAGGCAGCCAGAGCATACACAGTGTCTGTGGGAATACCACAGACTCCTCCTTCCTCCAGGAGTCCAGCAATTTTCAAGAGACCACTGGTGAGTCGTGAGTTTGCCACTGGACAGGGCGGCTCTGGAGATGTTTCCTGCTTCACTTTCTCCTAAAATAAAACAAACATGTTGTCCAGTAAAATGTACAGGATACATGACAGCAAATTCCAGTTTTATTGTAAAGGGAACACAAAGTTAGTTTTGTCAAAGTTTACCTTTATTAGGGGAGGGCCCATAGGTAGCAACCTCTGTGAGAAGATGCAGCTGAGCAGTGATGCCAGAGCTCCATAAATACAAATTAATGAAACCACTGCGAGCATGGCCACTGTGGAACAATGGTGTCAATCAATTAGGTGGACATTTTACTATTTATAAGGACGGCAAACATTGAACAATTTATATATTTTAATATGTTTTTATGAAAGACTTTCCCGAGAATGTGAAATGAGGTTTTGTCTATACTTACTTTCCAGTTCATACGGCAGTCGCTGCAGGGTGGAGAGCAGGAAGCAGACCAGAACAACCTCCATGACTGTTGTTAGAAACAGCAAGACCAGATTCCTGTAGGCAGCTGGCGCAAACAACAGAAGAATCGAAATCAGTACAAAAACAGCAGCTTAATAAATTGTTCTATTAAACCAATAATGTGCTTAACCTTACCAATCAACATGAGGGAAGCATTAATGACCAGGAGAGCAATGGCTCCTGCTGTAAAACCATAAGTTGCCTCTGTGGAGAGCTGCAGCAGGTTACCTGGAAAAGAAAATCTTGGGATCAACATCTTGTGTGAATCAGAGAAATATACGTCATGTCACTCATTTTTATACTGACGTACCTGCAAATCTAAACCAGGTCCAAACTGCCCAAACTCC